CTACTGATATCATACTGTCAAAACTTAAAAATCCAAAGATCAGAGCTCGAAAATGCTGATTAAATCAATAAAATGTTAAATAATCAAGTAAGATTCAAGGAGACTCTGACTAATAGTGACGGCATCGCCCATTTAACACGTACTTTTGAACAATATCTGGAGTCCAGATTCTGAACGAGCGGATAGTCCATTTTTGGGAATGCCAATACCCGCTTTGATTCTAGTTAACTCTAATAACAACAACCTATAAATGGACGTATTTCTTCAAACGGAACTAAGCGCCATCGGGGTGGGACGGTAGAGGAGGGCTTGGATTGGCGGCGAAACCGGGCTTCGGGCTCATTCGTCCCTAAACTTGCAATGCTTTTCCATGGCGCTTAGTTCCGTTTGACAGAAATACGTCCAAATATGCTACGATTTTGTGATCCTTTAATTCAGTAGTGCTAATTTGCAGCGTCTACAGGAGTAGTGCCAGAGTGATGGGCTTTCAGTTTCAAAATTGTCCTCAAAATTTGCTGTTTTCTTTATCATGAATTTTGAGGGTTTTTCTTTTATTTTGCATGGCATCGTACAAACTTTGACGAAAAAGAAAAAAGAGGAGTCATAGTCCCCCTAGAGGCATTTCAGCAGCTTCTGTTTGCTCGCTAGCAATAATTATTCGTCAAGTGCTGAGTGAAGCATCCGGTAGCGCGGAATATTTTGACCTCGCCAAAAGTTTCGTCCGTGTTTGGGTGAGATTTTGTGCGTCCTATTTGTTTGACAAACAGTCCTGCGATCAGGGCTGATTTCATTATCGCAGTGCCTTCACTTTCGGTAGCGTCTTAGCCACTGGTCTTACATTTGCAGCTACCTCCATAAAGGTTTTGAATAACTCCTAACATGCCAGGGAAACATCAATTGGCTTGAGGCAAGGCTAAAATTTTTAGACAGTCGATTTTTTTGTCAATATCCGAATTTCCTGTGAGTTGTTAATGGCATAGAAAGTTAAGCGGAGTTTTTTCGGTTCCGGTTCGAAATTGCCAAAAAACCAATTCCTGGTTTTTGTGCGAAAATTTTACAATGGTGTTGCTGCATGCACGCTGGGGGGTCTGCCTTCTAGGAATATTTTGTGATGGATAATTTTTTATATATTTCATTAGTGGTGGGTATAGAAACTGGAGTAGATAAAAACCAGAGATGACATCAAATTTACAATACGATGAAGTTTGACGGAAGTTATCGCGAGGCAATATTAAAATCTAGATACAACACAAGACACAAAGCCATGCATGAAATAACTTCTGCTGCTTAAAGAATATTTCCTGGCAAACCTCGAATTTGACTGCCAACTAGCAAACTGCAACCCTAGGGGTAGTGGGTTCTTCGTGCCCTTTTTGTGTTGACTCTGTTCACGAAAAAAAAGTGTTATGCGGGTTATCCCTGACATTGTGGTACTGCCCCGTTTTGTTGGATGATACAGGCATTTCCAATCAACTTGTTCCATCTAGTGACGTCATCTACAGCATTTCTCATTTAAACGCATGTACTTAAGCAGATTGGATCATTTTGTTATATATCTGTCAATAATTGTCCAGTTTATGAACAAAGAGAATCCCAGTGGTCAGCTCACTCGGTAGTTTCCAATGAAACACGAAATTCATTAAATTTCAGAAACCAGCAAATTCTCCATTTAACTTCATTTACTTCATTTTCTGTATGGTGACCTTCAAGAAAATGGGCCCGTTGTTTTCTTTGATTTTGCTTTTTTTTTTTCTCGTCACTCGGAGAAGCCCATTGATCAGTTGGACACATTTACAACATGAAAAGGAACTATATTAATTGTTACATGAGCTCTGCTATGCATCAACTCTTATAGATTGCAGGGCTCTTCTCAAAATGAGTATAGTTCCGTTTGATTTTAATACGTATACTTGGAGAATGCCGAGACAGAAAACCGCAGCCGCACGGCATTCACGTGATTCGCCTTCATTTGACGGGGTAGGCAAAACGCGCTCCTACGAGCTGCAATAGTGGTATCATTTAAATCTTCATTATGACTCCTCCATCCACCCTTAGTTTGGGGTTTTGATGCCACTGTTCCGTCAAGTAGAAGCCCGTATTTGCCTGTCCTATCATCATATTTTTTTTTTTTTTTTTTTTTTTTTTTTTTTTTTTTTTTTTTTTTTTTTTTTTTAAAGAAAAAAAGAGAAGAAAACAAATAAATCAGTGAAATCGGAAACATACCAACTCGGGAACTTTTGAACGCCTAATTCTCTGCCATTGAACATGTCGCATCTATTCCAACTTAGCCCCTCTCGATGTCTCTAAGTATACCTGTTCTTTGGCACCAAAAGTCTTAACCTGGCTTCTTCACCCGCGGCGCAGTTTTTTGGGTTTCCTTAACATTTTAATTTTTCCGAGTTAGTGTTTTCGTTCTCATCGATTCAAATCCGGACAACGAAAAGATAATGGATTCTTCATTTTTCCACTTATGGCTCTCTAGGCTATGTACGTCAGTGCGGCTAGCATTATTCCTCCCTGCGGACTGATTATTGAAATTGATTGACAAAGCAATGGACAAAGAAGACATAGGAGATATGGAGCAATCCTATTGGTTGGGGTGGGTGGCTCCTATAGACTACGGGAGAAAATGATGAACCAATAATCGGGTCCTCCGTGGGTTGTCGTTAGTTAGTCCATTACCTACCCATTTTGTCCATAGCAACCACCCGTTTCCACCAACAGGATCTTTTCATACCCTTCTTGTCTTATATGTCTATAGCTTTTTGTCGATCAATTTCAATAATCGACCCGCTGGAGTGGCTGGCAGGTGCGTATTTCATGTTTAAAAGGTTTGCCGATTCCAACGACTCGCAGACTCGCTGAGCTGGAGCCATGGACGGAGCCGCGCCTAACCAGATTTCACACCTCACAAGTCGGCACGCTGCGGTGTTCCTCTGACCAAATACCCGGGGCCGGTGTTTGCTTAAACGAAAAGAGACAAAAAGCAAAAAGGAAGAGAGAAAGAAAAAAAGAAAAAAAATCATTTTTCAACCATCCGCAGCCGATTCCTGTGTAATTATGTCATTAAAATACTTTCTTTTTTTGCCGTGCTTTCCTCCGCCGCGTGGCGCATCGCAGCGCGCCGATCCCCATCTTCCGCGGAGAAACCTGACCGGCCTGAGTTTGCGTCGCTTTACATATTAAAATTTGTTGATTTCGACCAAACAGAGCACCTATCCTTTCCTCTTTGACTTCCCTTCCACCGTTGAGTGATTTCACCACCGCAAATGTTGCCAACCTGACAAACAGTCATCGTATGGATTCTCCCGCCTCGAATCTTTCCCACTAAACTTCTCAAAAAAGCGATACTGAGCCACAGCGGCACCTGACAATTAAATTTGCAAAATTCATTTAAAATTGGCTGAAAAAAGGGGGGAAAATTGATTACAGGATGAAACGGTCAAGGCAGCGTTACACAGCTGAAAGAAGTAAAAGGGGAGGGGGATTACATAATAAATCGACGAGTGAAGTAAAAAAAAAGAGTGTCTCCATTGCTACAGTGGCGGATTCAGAGGGGGGGGGGAGGTCCCCTGGTGGCATGGCCCCCTCGTGCCAAAAATGGGGGGAAAGGGAGGAAAAAGAGTGATGTAAAAAAATGCTCCTAAAAATTGACTGAAATGGTTTCAAGACAGAACTATATTCCAAAGTTCACCAAACCAAAAGATATCACGGACGTACCATACTAAAATGAAGTTACTCTAAAAGAAGGATTATTCGTTAATTTTTATAACTTTCAAATAATGCACAAATTGTATGGTAAAATTTCTTAAAATTCAATCTAGGAGGGGCTATTTTTATAAAATTTTTCGAGGGAGGCCCCCGACCCCCTCCCATATTGGGGGATGTTTCCGAAGACCCCCTGCTCAACATCAGCAAATGGCCTCCCTTCGAATTACTCTGGATCCGCAACTGCGGCATGGCATTGCAACATTGAAAATTCGCCAACTAAGTTTGATTCTTTAAAAAAAAAACTAACTCAAATATCCTTTGAAATTTCTCATGAATATTTTCTTAATAAGGGAAGCAAATTTACATAAAATTTCAAGGAAAACTGTTGATGATTTTTTGTTAAAATAAATGAATGAACAAAACTCGAGCGGCGATTTGCAACGTCACAGTCCGAGTTAAATGTTTTTCCACGTAGGCTATCGAAATGCGTGGTCTCTCTTCTGACGTAAAGGCGTATCTCAATTGGACGTATTTCTATCAAACGGAACTATGTGCATTATGACGTGAGCCCTGTTACGCATCTACTCATATGGGTCTCAGGGTTCACGTCATAATGCACATAGTTCCGTTTGATAGAAATACGTCCAATTCCAACGTGAGCTCTCTTTTATCAAATCCATTCTTTCCGTGGCTCATGCGGAAATCGAGATGCGACAATGTTAACATTACAGAAAGGAAGTATCAAGTTTTGTGCAGTTGCACGCAATTCAACGTACTATCATAGGCGGTTCTACGGGGGTGCCAGTGGGTGCCGGGCACCCCCAAGCAAAAATTAAGTACGATTATCGGAACCGTGAAATTACTGCTTTTAAAGATTCTGTATTCGCTCACATGGAGAAAAAATCCCAGCAATTAATTGAAAATGTTTTAAACAGAATTAATATTGATAGCGTGTTTTACAAAGATTCTACTGTTTTTTATGGTAAGATTGTAGTTTCGATGGAAAGTTTCGCTAAAAATTTTCTACAGTGAATTTATAGGTATTTAAGTAGAGAGGAAAGACAGAAAAAGAGAAATGAGGGTAGGAAAGGGATAAAACTTGAGGGCCGAAACTTAGGCCTCCCCTGAGAAATGTCGGAGAATTTTCCACCTCTGAGCACCCCTAAGCATGAAGGTCTAGAACCGCCTATGCGTACTATTTCACTCTTTACATGTGCATTTTTTGATGGATGAAAATATTTAAAGGGGGAAACATACCTTTCATTGTAATTTTGCTTGTTTTCGATCAGGAATCCAGGCTCGGAGAAGAAGAAGCTTCACGTGAAACGGCCGATGAATGCATTTATGGTTTGGGCGCAAGCAGCGAGGAGGAAACTTGCTGATCAATATCCACAGCTGCACAATGCAGAACTCAGCAAGACTCTCGGAAAATTATGGAGGTATGTACAATTTATGCTCCTGTATGACATTATGTCATATTTTTGGAATTTTTAAGGTGAGAAGAGACATCCATTTAATTGCATATTAAGAAAAAACTCTGACACGTTAAGAATTTTGTGTTCATTGATCAAAGGACATTTAAGGGGCTTGAAGGACAACTTTTGAAAAAAGTTGAGATATTCATGAACTCAACTAAAGGCCCAGATACACCTGCGAGTTACAAGCGCTTGACATTAGGCAAGTAAATAATAAGAGATAGGAGAGAGATCAATTATGGAAGTAAGTTGATGTACACTTAGGAGTTATTTATTATTTTTGCACTATGCAATATCGATGGCCAAAGTGCGAAACCACACGGAAAAAGCGATTTAGTGCTGAACACTAACTGTTTAGATCGAATGGAGCCAGCTAGTATGGCAGTAGTGCTGAGCCCCAAAACTTTAGAGTCCAGCCCCACTGACTGTAGGTCTCAGCAGTACTGCCATATCAGCTGGCTCCATTTGATCTAAACAGTTAGTTCTCAGCACTAATTTATTGTATCGTTTTTTCCGTGCATGTATCTCCGTTTGCGCCATTGCAGACTTCTTGCCATATTTTATTTTTTTTCTTCGGAAAATGCGACTTAATGTAATTCTTTGAAATCGAAATTCCTTTGATTTCCTTTTGTATCAACATAACATCCCGCTTAAATTTCAAGCTATAAAGTTGGCTTGTTCCTCTTCCAAAAAATAAAATATAGGATCCGAAATTTGAAACACCGCAATGGGAATACGGAGTGTCGCACTTTGACCACCGGTATGTATCATCAACCGTAGAAAAACACAGAACATTAGAGTTGTCTTGAAAATTGTTTGGTGCAGTTTAACATAATTTAGTGAGTCAAGCTTGATTTCTAGAAAACAAAATCTACAAGTCACTGAATGGATGACTATTGCAAGAAGAGTGTTTCCTTGCCTACCTCAAAAATCGAAGGCGATATTGCAATTTGCGTAATCTATGTGCCTCCTTTGCGTCCATTTTTCTTCATAACTTCGTAATTGTAGCCACATTAGTCAGTTATAATTTCATGAAACGTGTCAATCGAGATACAGGCCGGCCTCTTAGTGTCGCTGTCAACATGATCTTTGCGCACACTGGAAAAAAAGTCTCTTGGACCCAGAGTCCAGACTCTTACAAAGTTTGACAAGAAAAAATACTTTTGATTCATTCGGATTTTCGCTTGAATCGAGAGCCAAGCTTCTTAATTTGACCGGATTTCCTTTAGATTCAAGCAAAAATCCGGCTGCATCAAGAGTTTTTTTCTTGTCAAATTTTTTAAGAGTCTGGACTCTGGATCCAAGAGACTTTTTACCGGTGTATGTTGGCGCACCGGAGGGCGAAAATTTTCCTTTGGTATACAGCACAGCCTGTAAAAACGCGCGCGAGAGCACCCTGCCTGGCGCGGCGCTGACGTTAGCGCCATCGTGTTTATTTATCTAAGAATTAAATTTTAGAGGAGATTTCGATTCCTCGCTTTTAACGACGGAAAGGGGTGGTAGGATATGAGGACCGGATGTAAGAACCCAGCGACCGGTGGAGGATGAGGAGGTGGGAGGGGTAGGTGGAGTTAGCGGTGAGCATGTTGCATCTCTGACGACTTTTAATTGCTCATTAATATCAGAGCAAGAGCATTTTAGAAGTTTTATCTAGAGTTCTTGAGCTCTAATTGTCGAAACACGTGTCAAATTCTCTGAAACTACACTCAGAATTTTATGGGGTGACACCGCTAAAAGAGAATATTGGAAATGGGTCAGTTGCGCTGGTCGTAGAATCAGATTTTGATTGTTTAAGCTTATAGATTAGCAAGAAATACTAAGATTTGTCTAAACGCTCAGTTTGTACGTCCAATATTAACGGAGATACCACCTTTCGAAAAACACGTCGTATGGCGTCATCCACCGCTATCAAGGTTGCACAAGTGAAATGAAAAATATGAAGCCTATTTTCAGGGGCTGGGTATGCAACGGCGACGGAATGAAAGCAAGGTCGAAGAAATAAAGGGAGTCATTACCGCAATGGATGGCGTCAAAAACCCGAATTTTCGATGTGTGCGATTTGTGTTAATATTGAACGTAGAAAGTAGCTGTTCGGACAGATCTCATTATTTTTAGCCAATCCACAATACTCGAACAGCAAAACACGGTTTTGTGACCAGCGCAACTGACCCATTGAGTAACAACATAGCTCATATGTTTAATTGAATGTTAAAAAGCCATATTAACGTGTACTTTTGGAGTAGGCAACTATTCGCGCTCTGCGGTGTGTTTGTTGCCTACGCGACGAAATTGAAGGCAGATCTTAAGTGGACGAGCGAGATCTGCCAGCAGAAGCAGATTCACGCATTGTTAATTGATTTTAGTAATATTCGTGGAGGGAGTCTTTTCATTTCTCTCAACTTTTGCTCTCCTGTCTTAGCCCAAATTTTTAATTTACTCTCATTTCGGCGCCTTTGTTGTAATGACGCCTGGTGCAGTCGCTCCTCAAGCACCAGTCTTAGTCCGATCATGAGAATGCAGTAAGGGTGGCCCTGATAACTGCCGTTCATTTGATTATCAAAGAGCTACGTTAAGTCGTATCGTAATGTTTGAGGAATCTTAAACGTCAGGAACCGTACGGAAAATCAATCTAAAAATGTGAAAATTTTCCGACTACGGTGCATAAGAGCTAGATATTCAACTTTAACACGTTTGGAACGATTGGTTCAAATACGTATCAAGTAAATTAAATTTACACCACGGTTAATTTATGGAAAGAATTTTATGACCCGTTTGGCGCTCTTTCCGAGACACCGCCTTGTTGCCACTTGGTGTAAAATTCAATTGAATCTCTCAGAAAACAACTCATCTCGGAAAATGAGATATTTCAGGTGACGATAAACATTGAATAATGACTAGAAAAGGAGTGTCTACGGAAAAAAATGAAAATTGTAAATAATCCGAGATGGGTCATTTCCGAACCGAGAGATTCAATGGGTGTCTAGAGGTTGACAAAAATGAAGTAAAGTGACCGAACTGGATTACTTCAAGATGCGTGCATTTTATTATAGGAGTCCGAGAACATCTTACTTACGGGTAATATGCGTTCCAATCAAGGATAAATTTACTATCTTATCTACAATATCTGAAGACCATCCTCTACGTTTTTCCGGGTACCTGCTCTATATTCCCTCTCTCATTCCGTTTGTTTCCTGTCGTGCCCTTATTTTCCTGGTCCAGTCTAGTTTATGATCTTTGCAACGGCGATGGAAGTGTAATTTTTTTGCCTGTTGGTGATATCTTTGAAGCCTTAAGGCGAGAGCCAATCACAAATCGTCGTTTCCTCCACGAAAGAACGTATAACTGCATTTCAATGTTGTCAAATTTTCCCTTACACATTGCTTTTCACAAGGAGATTTGTGGACATTTTTAACTGAAAATTTTACTGATTTTCCCTCCAATCTCAGGAAAAAATCTGAAGAATTTGAATCGAAAATTGCAAAGGTACACTCTCGTAAAAAATCGAATGGTTTGAGTCAATTTTGCAAGCTAGAAATGGAGTTTTGCTTCTTTGTCGGTGAACGACAAAATGAATTCCACACGGCACCACCTTGTGTTATAAAAAGTCCCTCGGGAAGGCATCAACATTTTTGTGGAGCTGTACTGCTAAAAATCGGGGTGAAAAATTCGGTGATGGAGTCTATATTGCGCCCAAAAACCCCGAATGATATGAATGGGAAGTGAAGTTCTCACCATATAAGCGTATGATACTCCGCAAAAAGAGTAGATTTCGCTCCGTATAATAGTGTATATCATTCCGTACATAGGATACTCGTAGATTTCGATTTCGCCCCGCATTAATGTCATTAAGGGTTTTTGGACGCTATATGAACTCCGGCATGGAAGTTCACTCTACAATTCTGCCAAACTGAGGAAAAACGCCGTATGTACATTCGAAAGTTGCCAAATTTCTCCGGATAAAATATGTATTTTTGAGGAAAGTCGTGCACATATTCCCGTAAAATTTTCGGATATGTTAGATCAAGCTGCGAACAAAATATTTGCAAAATTTAGAAAAAAATATTCAAAAATTGTCCAGAAAATTCGGTTTTAAGCAAAGGAAATCTAGCAACGTCTAGAGGCTCATACAGCGTTTTTCCTTAGCACGACAGAAGTTTCAAAAGTGTGGAGTGATGAAGGGCGAATTTTCGCCTCAGCGCGGCAGCAGCAGAGGGTTCGCAGTGGCGCGAGCAGTGAGCGCGGGGCTCCAATTGGACCTCGGACCAGGTTGGGGCGAGAAGGAAAACAAACATTCCGGATTGATTTCAAAGAAAAAGTTATTGCCGCGGGCCGCACTGCGCTCGTAATCGTTTAAGCGGCAATTCGCCTTGTATAAACGTCGCCGCGTCGGAATCGGGAGTTCGGGAGAGCCTTCCTTTTCCGCGGGGATCGCGCTCGAGGTGTTGTTGAAAAACTTCCCGAAGCCACGTGCGAGCCGACGCGGTGGAGTTGCCGCGCCACCCTGCGACCCTGCCCTCGCTTCGGCTCGCGCCAAACTCATGCTCCCAAGATTATCGAAGGCGGCGGCAGCTGAACAGATCAAACGCAGGTGAATCAACAGTATGAGCCTCCGAGAAGTGAGTCTGTCGAAATAGACTTTGGTGACACGCGTCCATACCCATGTATCTCGCCCAGGCGGCCAGGCCCGTCGAGAAGGGGTCGAGACGCAAGTCTGCTCTTGCGTAAGGCGCCATCCGCGAGGCGCGAGAGCATCGGCGGATCCAGCAATTTGGCAACACCGGATTTCCTCCATTTAAAATTATGGAAATGTATCGACTCTTGGTGGGGCCAGGTGCTCCGGCAAGAATCGATTATTTAGAATTGGATTAAATGGAGGAAATTCGGTAATGTCAAATTGCTAGATCCGCAACTTCGCGAGGGCGCCAAAATTTCTCGCCTTTTTTTTTGTTTAACTTTTTTCTTTTTACCTACTAGGCACTGTCACTATTGGCGGATACAGACATTCAGGGCTGGATTTACTTACTTGCTGTCCATGGGCCGCCTGTATTTTGCCGCCCCCTTCTCATACGTTTCGAAACATCAATAAAAACAATCAAGTGAACGTGCCGGAGGGGGAGGGGTTCATAAGACGCGTTTACTCGTGTTGGACACATTTTTTGCGAGAGCCCTGTCAACACTATACTGGCAAAAGTTCACGGAACTTGGCGCGAAAGTTAAGTTCCGTAAACCTATCTCTGTGTGGACAAGGCCTTCCATCTGTATGAAATGAACGAAAAAATCATGAAAGAACAAATATAAATGTGGTTTAATAATTTTAACTTCCACCGCCGCGCCGCACTGACCGCACTGTGTTAGGCGCAATGCGTGAAGTATTCCTACAGTCTTGTATGCGCTATGCGTTTCACGCTGATCGCTGCTGCACGCACTGTGTTTGACGCAATGCAGGAAGTATTCATGCAGTCTTGTAGGCGCTATGCGTTTCACGCCGCCCGCTGCTGACCGCAGCGACCGCACTGTCTTTCACGCAATGCGAGAAGTATTCATGCAGTCTTGTAGGCGCTAATATGTGTTACATGCCGACCTCCACACCGAGGGCTACTTCTCCTCATCTAAAGTCCTCGTCATCATTGCTCTCTGCGCCGCGCCGCGCCGTTCCAGACCAAATTCCGTGTTCGGTTTCTCTCTTAGTCTTAAATGGACTAATGAAAGGTGCTGTCTATTGTATCACAGAAAGACGACAAAATTAGAAATATACTCTCAGGAAACGAGAGATTTTGTCACCTTTCCTCGTTTGTAGTTTCTTTTCTGATTCCGATTCTTCTTTATAGCTACATTTAAAAAAATTGCAAAAATAGCCGCCCCCTAAATTAGCCGCCATGAGCCGCGGCCCATGTGGCCACCCCCTAAATCCGGCCCTGCAGACATTTCAAACGAGGGGGAAGGGGGATTTTTCCTTAACCTCTACCACCGGGACCGGGGGTCTAGAATACCGCTCCAGGGATACTTTCAGAGTTTTTTTTCGGGCGAACAGAGGGGCGCAGGCCCCCTACGCCCCCTGGATCCGATCACAGGATCAAACTGAGCCTATTTATTCAACAAGATCAGATTTCCGGGGCTCTGATCGGTTTGGGCTGTGGGTGCCAAATGCCGGAATTTCAATACCCACGCACTACCCGACCAATGAGAACGTACACGATGTTTTATCCAACTGTGGCGGCCCGCGTCAATTTAGTAGCGGCGCATTCTCATTGGTAGGAGAACAGCCAATAATGGCGCACAGTGGATCGAGTCAATTAGAGAGGTCGGACATAAAATTTTTGACTAAAAACTGCAAATTTTGATGTTTCATTCGTCACATTTTAAATTTTAAGGGGTGCTTAGAGTATGAAATTTCATGAGAAAATCATTAGCACCACATTTAGAACCTCAAAGTTTTGAATAAACGGAGTTATAAGCCTTTAAAGTTTCCAAATTTTGTCCGACCTCTCCTCTTGGCTCGATCTACTGTGTGGCGGTGGCTTTGTTAGATCTAGGAGGTTAGTTTGATCGTGTGACAGTAGCTATTCTCCTGACTAGTCACGGAATTAGTCCACGAAAATATATATTAAAGAAAAAGGATGTTTGTTTTTGTAGGTTACTTAAAGATGAGGACAAGCGACCTTTCATGGAGGAAGCAGAGCGGTTACGACTGATTCACAAACGAGACTATCCTGATTACAAGTACCAGCCGAGGAGGCGCAAAGCTTGCAGTAGTAGCAAATCAATGAGCAATGTTCACGGACAGAAGAACAAACAGTATCCGGACTCCGGTAACGAGGAGTAAGTATCTAGTCCTTTGAAAAACACAGCTACCGTCCTTAAGTAACTTCATTTCGGGATATCAAGTCATTTCTTGCGGATAATCTTCTTCCAATTTTACAGTGAATATTATTCACAATTTAAAATAAAGTATCTGAAAATGTCACGGAAAAATATGAAGTCATTAATTGCGGATATTTAATTGTTCTTCCAATTGTATAGTGAATTTTATTCACAATTTGAAACAAAGTATCTGAAAAATATGCATAAATGGTCAGTTGCGCTAGTTACAGAATCATGTTTTGATGCTTGATTCTTGTAGATTAGCATAAAGCAATGAGATCTGTCTAAACAGCAACTTTCTACGTTCAATATGAAAAGTCGGGGTTTTGACGTGATCCACTGCGGTAGTGACACCCTCGGTTTCTCCCACCTTGCTCCACCTTGCGTCCAGAAAACACACATTTGCACTGGTTACTCAACATAAAACTCGGTTGAAAGCGAGATAGAAGAAACCAAGGATGTCACTACCGCGGTGGATCACGTCATAAGCCGAATTTTCCAAAGCGCGATATCTCGCGATTAATGTTAAGCGTAGGAAGATGCTGTTTGGACAGATCTTATTATTTTTAGCTGATCTACAGGAATCAAGCATCGAAACACAATTCTGTGACCGGCGCAACTGACCCATTATCCTAAAAAAATACACTTGTTTTAAGAAAGACTTGCAAACATCCGAATGCTTATAATTTACGAAATGTTTCTCCAAATTTGTCAGATTTTTCTCCGAAGGTCCCCAATGAAGAGTCAGGAGAGGATACACATTACCATTAGGATAAAACCCGAATAGGGCTTTAGTCTTTCTTACTAATTTCTATTTTTTCTCATTTCCAGAGAACTGAAATTAGAAGACAGCTGTAGTCTAAGCGCCGACGATACCTCTTCACCTCAAAGTCAGCGGATTGAATCTCCTCACGGACCTCCAACACCTCCGGCCACACCCAATCGGGGGGCAACTGCCAAAATTCCACGAATTCAAACGTCACATTACCCCAGTAAGTGTGAGCGCATATTTTTTGGTTTCGACGGAATGGACTCAAGAACCAAAGAAACCAAGGGAACTCCAGCATTGAAAAGCTGGCGTAAGCTAGAGGAAAATGGTGTATTCATAATGTATACATCGACGGTGAAAGTATCAGACCACGTTTCTCGGTTCGCGGTATTGCTGGCTTCCTGTTATACATACTTCATTTTTTAAATGGAAAACTACTCATTATCAACTCTTGAAAATTCCCGCAATTTTTCATCTCTCTGTGGAAAACCTCTGTGGACCTCAAGGAATGATACTGATTCGCTCTATCTCCTTTAAAAAAATTAAACAGGAGCGAAGATTTTTAAGTGCCGCAAACGAGATACGTGGTCTGGTGTTTTCACCGTTGAAATGCTATTTTTTAATCGAAGAACTTCAAAATATTAGTATTTCTTAATAGACACATTTTATAACTTTATTTTTCACACGACAATTGGGTGGAAAAATACGGGATGGGCCTTCTGATGCTAACATCTCAGTCAACATGAAAATGAATGCTGCGACAAACTGTTGTCACTAGTCAAAAACGCCTTTAGTTCCGTGTGATACTTCACCGTCCACACAGAACTGATCTCAACCAATATGAGTGCTACGACGAACTGTTGTCACTAGTCAAAACCGCCTTCAGTTTCGTGTGAAACTTCACCGTCTACACAGAAATTAAAATGTTTGTATAATTACTGTACATCTTCATACTAACTCTTAGGATCTTTCAATTGTTAATGGAACATTCATGATGTTTCATTCGATCGGAAAAAACCATAATGGAAACTGTTGATATAAATATTGTACTTTGTTTCTTCGGCAGACCCAGCAGAGCCCTCGACAAACGAGAACCACAGTATTGATTTGAGCCCTCTGGAGGAAGCAGCCGTGTCGATGGAGAGTCCTCTGGTTGATAACTCGGAGCTAGACCAATATTTGCACTATTGTCCACCGGGGCATTGGATGTCAGAACACAATGAAAACGAACATTCTCATTATAGCCAAAACGAATTAATTAGGTAATTCATATCATTCACATTTAATTAACTTGTTTCAGGACATTCGTGTGGGTAAAATGCACCTTCTTCGGTAGATAGCAGGGGATTTTTCACATCGATGGCTCAAGTGGACGTATTTTTATCAAACGGGACTAAGCGTCAATTTGAGTTCCTTTTGAGGAATTTAGAATCCCGGATAGCGCGTTCTGTCAAACGGACCTAAGCGCCATGGAAAAGCATTGCGAGTATAGGACGGAATAAGCCGGACGCCCGATTCCGCCGCCGATCCAAGCCCCCCTCTACCTTCCTCACCCTATGACGCTTGGGTCCGTTTGATAGAAATACGTCCAAGTGTGAAACTGCGTGTGCGGTGTTTCAAAATGTCCGTTCCTATTTTATTTTTCGAAGAGAAAAAAGCCTACAGAGCTCGAAATTTTTGCAGAATATTTTGCTAACATAGAACAAAAATAATAGCAGTTTTTACGAAATTACGCTTACTATTTTTTCAAAGAAGAAAGTAAAGGTAAACATGACAGGAAGTCTGCAACGCCGCAAAGGGCGAACGTAGTTTCGCACAATGGCCATCGAAACGTGGCATTTGGGTCCGAGACCCACCCGTCTCTAGTTCTTTTCCGCGTTAGTACGTCCAATGGGTTAGTTGTGCTGGTCACAAAATCGTGTTTCGATACTTGATTCTCGTAGATCAGCTAAAAATTTTAAGTGTCGTCCAACAAGCAACTTTCTACATTGAATAATAACCGAGATATCGTGCTTTGAAAAATCGGTTTATGACGTCATCCACCGCAGATGTGACGCCCTTGGGTTCTTCCACCTTGCTTTCATCAGTCAGGGAAACGCACATTTGCACTGATTACTCGACGTGAAACTGGGATGAAAGCAAGGTGGAAGAACCCAAGGGCGTCACATCTGCGGTGGATGACGGCAAAAACCCAACTTCTCTTCTTTCTTTCTNTGGAAATTGTCGATATAAATATTGTACTTTGTTTCTTCGGCAGACCCAGCAGAGCCCTCGACAAACGAGAACCACAGTATCGATTTGAGCCCTCTGGAGGAAGCAGCAGTGTCGATGGAGAGTCCTCTGGTTGATAACTCGGAGCTAGACCAATATTTGCACTACTGTCCACCGGGGCATTGGATGTCAGAACACAATGAAAACGAACATTCTCATTATAGCCAAAACGAATTAATTAGGTAATTTATATCATTCACATTTAATTAACTTGTTTCAGGGCATTCGTGTGGGTAAAATGCACCTCTTTCGGTAGATAGCGGGGATTTTTCACATCGATGGCTCAAGTGGACGTATTTCTATCAAACGGAACTAAGCGTCAATTTGAGTTCCTTTTGAGGAATTTAGAATCCCGGATAGCGCGTTCTGTCAAACGGACCTAAGCGCCATGGAAAAGCATTGCGAGTATAGGACGGAATAGGCCGGGCGCCCGATTCCGCCGCCAATCCAAGCCCCCCTCTACCTTCCTCACCCTATGGCGCTTAGGTCCGTTTGATAGAAATACGTCCAAGTATGAAACTGCGTGCGCGGTGTTTCAAAATGTCCGTTCCTCTTTTATTTTTCGAAGAGAAAAAAGCACATAGAGCTTGAAATTTTTGCAGAATATTTTGCTAACATAGAACAAAAATAATGGCAGTTTTTTTACGAAATTACGCAAACTATTTTTTCAAAAAAGAAAGTAAAGGTAAGCATGACAGAAAGTCTGCAACGCCGCAAAGGGCGAACGTAGTTCCGCACTTTGGCCATCGAAATGTGGCATTTGGGTCCGAGACCCACCCGTCTCTAGTTCTTCTCCGACTTAGTACGTCCAATGGGTTAGTTGTGCTGGTCACAAAATCCTGTTTCGATACTTGATTCTCGTAGATCAGCTAAAAATTTTAAGTGTCGTCCAACAAGCAACTTTCTACATTGAATAATAACCGAGATATCGTGCTTTGAAAAATCGGTTTATGACGTCATCCACCGCAGATGTGACGCCCTTGGGTTCTTCCACCTTGCTTTCATCAGTCAGGGAAACACTCATTTGCACTGGTTACTCAACGTGAAACTGGGATGAAAGCAAGGTGGAAGAAACCAAGGATATCACTACTGCGGTGGATGACGTCGAAAACCCAACTTCTCAAAGGACGATATCTCTGTCAGTATTGAACATCCAGAGTTGCTGTTTGCACAGATCTTATTATTTTTAGCTGATCCACAAGAATCAAGCATCAAAACCCGATTCCGTGACCAGCGCAACTGTCTCATATGTTCAAATGTTACAGCGGCGATGCCTACTGAATAATTGTGGTTTAAAATGACGACCCGAATAATTTCTTAAGAATAAAAGAAAACATCTGAAGTCAAAAACTGAGAGTTGACCACTTTTGATTCAGGATCAGGTTAATGTCTTATACTTAAAAACTTAGCTTTTATTTCAATTTCTTGGTTACAGGTACCACGATTTGCAGCCGAGCAAGGAGGTGGTGACTCGGACGAACACGTTCTATCATCAACCGACCTCATCTTACCAGCCGCAAAACTACCAGTACCATCCGTACCTTTCTTCTTATCAGTATTTTACCTCGCAAAGGAATCCTGATAATAACTGGCCAAATTTTTGATTGAAAATCACACTTGAGAGGGAAATAGGCAACTGCATTCGCAATCATGCTCAAACGTAGATAAATGAAAACCTTTGTGTGAGCGCAGGTACTTACAATCTGTGCCGATCTGAAAATTACCGTTTATCATAAAATCGACGACTCAAGTGCAAAACCTCGTATATCTCCGTTTGTGACATCACAGATTTTATGTCATACTTTATACTATTAAATGAAGGGTACTTTAGGTAAAGTCTTAAAGACTTCCCTTATTTTTCTTCTCCGTGCTAAGAATATTTTGTGGAAACCTCATAAGGAACGATGTTTATTTGTTCACCTTTGAAAAGGCACCTAACTTACAAAATGCAAACGAGATACCTGGTTGTGTTGTGCGTAAGTTTCACCAACTGTTCATAGCTTTCATTGCTAAATTAAACAATGAGCAATGTCATACATGATAATTTCAAAAAGTCGGTTTTTGTTCATATCCTTCCTAATCTTATCTGTTCGGCATCATTATTTGAGAAAGCACCTGATAAAAAAGTCTTTTTCGGGATCCAGATGATAAAATTACGTTCATTGGGTACCTGTTTCAGCTTGAAGTCGTGATATCGATTTTTATGTACATATTTGAGTACCTGAATACATCGTTGAGCTTAATTGAAATACCCAAAGTTTCATCTGTTGTTACGGATTTTAACCTTTCCTTGTCAACTTTTTTGTAAATTCTTGCTGTTATTGAAAATATAGTGCCTTTTCATTTACCTTGTAAAATAATTCTTACTTAGATACTTTTAAAATACTAAAACGATACAAAAATGCCCTGTGTTACCTATTAAATGGAATTTTTAATTAATTATTTATTCTTATGCAGTACGGTGAATTTCATCGAAATCATGTGACAATTTTTGTAATTATTAAATGTACTTTTGACGTAATAAAACGTTTCTCTATGTTAGCTTCGTACATTCACCATCAATTCAAAGTATGTCACACATTCCAAGTGTTATGTTAAAACAATAATCCAAGAATAATCGCAAGATCCAAACATAATGGGTCCAGCGAATTATTCACCTCCTTTCCAAGAAATACCATGAACAAACTTACATTGGTACTTACGATTCGCTTTTTTTTTTTTTTTTTTTTTTTTTTTTTTTTTTTTTTTTTTTTCAAATATCACAACTTTTACTGTCACCCAAATCCCTCATTTAAACTTTTATTGCATAATATTAATTATTCGTGCACCAACACATTCTTTGTTTTATTTTTAAAAATTTAACTATTCCTCTGGGCCATTATGTTGCCAATTGGTATCAGTTTTCTTTTAAGAAAGAAGATTACCAAGATTTAAATTTTGAGAAATAATTTGGGACTCCATGTTATTACAAAAGCTGCAACATTGATTTGTGTCCCCTCAGAATTCAAGATCCAAAATTAATTATTGGCATAGAGGAGAGGGTTATAATCAGGTAAGTGGGACTACTTATCATGCTGGAAATCGGTGAAAAAACAATGCAGTGTGGCGTAAACATTTTTAAAAACGTTTTCTGTAGAGGAGGAAAGTTAGCTTTAAAGCTTTAATTGGTAATAATTGAGGGGCTTGGAGGACAAGGCGCATAAGTGCAGTTTTTGCCATTTTGAGAAATACGTGTTTGAAGTTTCGAAATTACATGGATCCTTATGGCGGGAAAACAGTTCAACCTGACTTTTTGATACTTAAAAATTAGAATGTGGGAGCGGCTTTTTTTTACAGAATATGCATTCAGACTAGTTTTATTTGAGATAATTAATATCTCACTTTATTTTAAGAACTGCACTTATGCGCCTTGTCCTCCAAGCCCCTCAATTGAGAGAGTTTCGGATTTCATCTCTCACTTGTGTACTAAAAGCTAATAATCCCACGGTCACTAATTCGATACGCTACAGCAGGGAAAACGTGGGATACAGGTGGTTTGACATCGTGCACATCCAAGCTGATGCCAAAGGCCCAGGAAAGAGCGGCGGAGTCGGAGTGCGTCCTCCTATTTGCGATGAATCGATTAATCTGCCATTCAAACCTATGAAAAAGTATCGATTATCAGGATATAACTAAATAATCGATTCTTTGCCATGGTTCCAAATGGAAAAATATCAATAGCCGACGATTATCGCTTTACCACCGACATCCCGATCTGCCATGAGAATAAAGGAAGTAGTATCGGAACGGGTGCTTTATCGAGGGATGTCAATCTTCCGTCACCGGAAATCCAAACAAGCGGTAGGCGATTGGTCAGACGGGCGGTTTTTGAGCGCGACGTCAAACCATGCTCACTACCAATCAGTAACGGAAGCAGGAACACCTCTGAGTCAACAGTCAACAACCAGCAGCAACCGATCCTGATAAGCTCCTATCAGTAATTTACCCAGGTGTCCACGAAGAGAGACTTCGTGGGTCTCTGGGTCTCGATGATTCACCTCCTAACGCCGTGTCTTCATGGGGCGTTTTACGGGATTTTTCCTAAGTTCGAATCGAAGGAATGAAACTTCTGGGCTTTTTTCCTATTAAACAACACAACAGACTCTCTTCTTATTCTTTTTAAGTTGTTCCTGGGATTCCACAAGGACTCTTGGTTGGTCCTGTGATTAGTATTGACTAACTCAATATTTTTCCCAACTTCGCATGTGAGATTTTTCCGTAGGAGAAATCTCATGAAACGTTCCGTGGAGACAGGGTCTTATCGTATAAATTCGTATTTACTGTGTATTCTCTCTCTGGGTGCTTTGATATCCTGGACAGGGTTCACTATGAATAGCCGGTCAGATGGTCCTAATGTGACATTGTGTGACATTCGGCAATCCTAGGATATTTTAAAATCTGGACTTGTCAAAAACAGCTGAAAACAGCAAACTATTTGCAACGGCATTACCAGCATTACTATGTGGAAAGATAATAATTCCAGGAAAATGGAAAATGTACCCATGAAAATCTGTGGTAAAGTTTTGTGTAATTTGAAACTGTTATACAAAATAACTCTGCTAGTGTTTCGGCACACTCAAATTTTTGATACTGAAAATGATTAGAGAGTTAAAAAAATATAATAATGAAATGAAGTGAGATCCAAGTTTATTTGAACATAATTTTCAGACATTTCTTCATATTAAAGGAGTGGTAGTTCTCACAAAAACTTTGTGGACAAATTAAGGAAATGAACAGGTACGTCGTTGCAGTAATGGAATCGAAAAATGGTAAGTTATACGCATTTTTACAGGAAAATCCACTCAGTTTGATAGAGGTACTTACACTCTACACATACACCTCTTGCACTTTTCTTTTCAGTGCTTACAGAACTATTTTATTGATAGTGAAAAAAAGGAAGAAAAGGAGAAGAAGAAAAACACGTCTCTCCCCGTAACGTTACAGATTTGCTACCATATTGTACGCTCCCCTTGTATAAAATTCGATCACTCTGAAGCTGATTGGCAAGTTTGAGGGAGAAAAAACAGGGACCTAAAACTGACGAGTTGAAATCGTTAGGGTACGTAATCCTTCATTTTGGTGGTGATACAATATCAGTTGCAGGTCATGGCACTGGAGGAATAAAGGGAGTTGTGGAGTCATTACTTTTCTACGCTGCGTTCAAGTCTCCAAGCTTTCTTCTGTGTTTCTTGACGCATTAAAAGTTTTTGACGGGGAAATGTTTTTCACTATGGTTATCATGGCCAACTGGGCTGGACGAATTGCATCGAGCCCCTTTTTCCTCCAAGTACACGAATAGCTAATCAAAGAACTCCTTTCTTTGGCGGAACCCATGGATTTTGTTCAAATCTCACCTGAACGATACCTCATGATGAGAAAATTCTCCGATAAAAGTTTTATCTTGAATGAGTTCACAGTTTGTTTTGGCAATATAGAGTTGCAAGAGGTAATTTTTCACCATTAAAAAATGCTATCATTTTAAAGTTCCTCAGTTGAAAAAAACGACTTTTGTTGATGCCATTTTATTTCCTACTGCATATATCATCAGCTATGATGTTACTGTGCCTCAGAAAATAAAAAGGGATCAATTAAAGTTGTTTCCCCCGCCGATGAAGAACTTCCAAGTATTAGCATTTATCAATGGTAAAAAAAAGTACACTTTGCAACGATGTATTGCCAAAACGAGCTTTAAACTCAAGCTAAAATTTTTACCGGAGGATTGTCTTAGCATTATCTTTTTTTTAGGTCACAGTTGTACAATATCCCTGAGTTCCCCCAAAAAGGGGCACAAATACACCTTTTTTGGCAGACTCTTTTTCGAACATGTATACCTTCACAAAGGCAATCAATTGACCGGTAAGTCAACCAGACCTACAATTTCAACTAATAGAAACAATTGGTACATTTTCTGGAACTGCAGTCCGCGATGAACTTGCAGTCCCACAGGACTGGCCCTGCTCTGGATCTGGAAGCTGCTGGCTAGCGCTTCTCAATTTCAAAATGTCTCTGGTCGTGAGCAGACACAGGATTTTTTCCTGAAGTTCCTCAGGGAGGCTTCGAAAGCGGAAGGAAAGCAAATGGAAACTTTTAACTGCATGTTTATGAGCCCATGTTCGGTCGTGCCCTTTATCGAAATGTCGGTTCAAAATTCCCCCGTAAATAGGGAAACTTAGTTTAAAATCGGTGGTTTTGAGCACTTGGGTGAAAGAGGGATTACTCATCAAGAGGCGGGCAACGATACACTCATTTTTTCCCAGGACGTCATACGTCGGAACGTTTAAATAAACACACGGTTCATTTTTCAAACGCGTCAGCTCCTCCGTACACGCCGTCCGAAACCCTTTCGGGGCCAACCTCATGATAGTCCAAAGAGACCGTTCATCCAGAAATTCCAGCTTGTCAATCTCTCTGAGGACCATGATCTTGACAAGATGGCATACGAGTATTTCATCGGAAATGAAGTTTATCGAAAGTTTGGCTTGGACGCCGCGGGGTGTGAACCTATCCCAATACACTTTTACGAGCAGTCGATGTGCTTCTATTTCTTTCAAAGTGCATTCGTCAGGAAAACACCTCTCGAGGAAATACGATAAGAATCCTGGCCCTGCCCAGTAAGCCAACTCGAGAACCGTTTTAACTCCGGCCTTTGCTTTCAAATCGGCCCCGTACTTCAAAAAAAGCTTGACCAAATCCGGGCGCCTGTATTGGATGGCCAAGATGAGCGGCGTTGCCAGTTCGCGATCCGTGGATTCCACATCCGCTCCGCTTTCAAGAAGAACTTCAACCACCTCGTAAGCAGGCCAGCGGATATAAGGAGGCAGCGGGCTTGCCTGAAACCTTACATTGCTCAATGGGTTGAGCCCTGGTGGGCGGCGTGGATGAAGACTCTGCAGTGGCATCTCACCACCACCTAAAATTGCCGAATGCAGAGAAGAACGCCCCTCCTCAGTTTTACCATCAACGTCGGCGCCGTGTTTCAGCAACTGTTGGACCAACACCGCTGGGCCTGAAGTTGAGGCCAGGTGCAGGAGATGCCCATTGAAACCAAGGCCAAACGTACATGGGATACCGATAATCTGGCCCAGGATGGTCTCCATTGCTCCCAGGATGACGTCATCGATTGCGGGTATTACAGGATTATTGTGCTTGTACTTAATGTGAGTGATACGAATGGTAGAGTTCAAAAAGAGTCTTTTGACTAGATGGTCGCATCCTCGAGGGTGGTAGACATCGAGAGGGTCTGCAGTTGCGCTCCGGCTCCCGTCCAGATGGAGCTCCATCATCCGCAGATTCTCTGTATTGCTTAGTGAATTGGGCATGTTTTCAGTCGTGAGGATGATGATGTCGTTTTGCTGGAATGTATGTAATATATGTGAGTGCAGTCTTTGGTAGTCTCCGGGAAGAAGGGCGAAAGCTTTCGTTAAGGGTGTTGAGGCGGATGAGCTACTGCCGGGGCTGATGATGGAGAAGCTTAGCATTGCTTCACTCCCTTGTTCGGGTTCGAGTTGGTCCGATTGCGTGTCATCGACGAAGAAGATGAGGCACTGGACTGGCATATCACACTCCATGGCTCGATTCAGAGGTCTGTCTGAAACAAAAAAGAGTTTCGAGATTATTTGACAATTTTATGAAGATTACTTCTAGCCTCACTGGGAAAATCTCAGGAATTAAACGAAAAAGTGGAAAAAATAGAAACAAAAGGTTTTATACGAGGATTGTTGAAAATTAGAAAATTGAAATTTCCTTGAGTTTTTGAAAATTTTCAAATATGTCACTCAAAAAAGACCCTACAGCCATAGCAATAATTTTGGTCATTTAATGCTGAATAGTTACCGCAGTTACTGGGATCGTAGGCTGAAGATAACTGCTTTATTATAAATAAGACTTCACAATTAGCAAACATTACCCATCGAATCGAGGGAGAAAGAGAAAGAATTTCTAGAAAGAATCCGCTCAGAAACAGGCACACATGCCCGTATCAGCAGAGCAAGGAAGGCTCAATTGCGTGATGATTCGTGAGTCGAATAATAAACGGAATATAAAACTCCTTCATTTTGAGAAGATACAATTCAGACAACCGATCTGCTCGTTAAGTTGCGTCTCAATATCCACTAAAAATCGGTCTCACGGTTCCACATTTTATTATCACACTGCTTTATTTCCATCTGAGGCCTTGTTTCCGTGTTTCCTAATAAGGGATGAGGATTTGGGTGATCTAACGTTTCTATCAAGCCCGGTGCTGTATCAGCGAGTTTAGTGATTTTCAATTGTTATCATTGCCGAAATACAATTGCAAAAAGCCGACCACTTGGTTCTTTCACTGAAAAAAAATCTTAAATTTACTGCCTATAAATATTTTTTCTTGAACCAAGAATGTCGTTGCTTAATTTAAGCTACTTTTTTGCTTAACTGAAGCATTTTATCTTTTGTTTCTAGATAAATTTAGCTTGAATCCAGATAAACAAAACTCTTGGTGGCAAATTCAAGAATCATCGGGCTTGAAGCAAGCGACTTTATTTTTCAATGCTGAGCGTAACATTTAAGTGAGCAAAGAAGTAGTCAGGAGAGCACATCCTTGTTCTATTTAATGAAAACGATAAAAAATATTTAATATACTATTTAATACTATTTAATGAAATAAATTTTATAAAACACGAATTTACTGAGAAAATTGTAAATATTTCTTTCCCAAATTTTCAGGCAATTTTGTACGCAATTTAATCTAAAATATTTGAAAATTTCGAGGACAAATTTGCTTAACTTGCGTCAAAAATACATGTTTTATCAAAAGAAATTTTGCAACTCTCGAATGTTCGTACGGCGTTCTTCCTTAGCACGGCAGAATGGACAACTCGGCATTATGCGAATTTAAGCATTCTGCTACATGTTTCTTGACCAAAATTTCACGTAAAACACGATTCTTGCATCGAAAATTACTGATATTAATTCATAACGCTAATATATTAACGTTTTAATTTTACATTGGTTCAAGGAAATTAGAATTGCCTGATCACAAGAAACGCAATCTCTATTATACTTGAGTCAAATCGCGCCTTACGATGGTTTTGGCAGGCTTCTCAATCGAACCCCCACCCTCTCCCACCCTTTATTGTTCAAAATGTAAACAATTTGCTATAGCTGAGCCAAAGCGTCAAGATTGAGGTTGTCATATTTTCGTATCGCATAGACTGCCACGGTAACGTTTAGTGTGCGTTTTGAATCACCTCACGTAGACTATCCAGTTTTCATGACCAAAAGGTTTGAATTTATACGCCAAGAAACATTCAATACCTTGGTTAAGAGTTATTCCAGTAATTTTCCTTGCGCGAATCATACTCTGCGTGAAATTTTGGTTGGGAAACATGTAATAGAATGCTGAACTTAGTACTTTGTCTAGTGTTCCATCATTCAAGCTTTAAGGGTTATCTGAGCCAGAAACTGTAGTTCCTTATTGCAAAATGAAGTCAATTTATCATATTGGCTGTTTAAAGGAGACTAAAAAATGAGTTGATTAGATTCAAAAACATTAGAAAGTTTGCAACATGGTACACATTAAGTACTTTGGTACTTGGTAATGGTGAGTACCTTGGTATACGTATTCTGATTAAATGGCTAAACTTAACGATGTAGTTTACCGAAAGGAGGTATATCGATAGCTTAAGCACAATAGTTGAAGTCTCAAAAGGTCATCTATAATGCAAGGTTTGAAAAGCTCTGATTTTGTTTCATTTTTTGACACTGAAACTAATCGACGTGCCTCCATGAAATTTTCTGAGAATGAAAAAATTCTAATGAACGAATTTTCCTATTGAATAAATGAATAAAAACAAACAAAAATCACCGCTGATTTAAAAAAAATCGTTGGTTGGTGCTCTAAAACTCTAAAAATGAATCGATTTCGACTGCATTGCAATCGGAGATACGCAATTTCCAACCATGACCATCAATACAATAATAATTGATAAAAACAGAAAAAGTATGCAGACAAACTATCTAGCAGAAACTCTGTGTTACTTTTTTATATTCAAAAGAAGAAATGGAAATAGGAGATTATCTAGGGCGAAAGTATAGAATAATTCATTTTGTCTGCTCGAGTGCAGCATTTCTTACTTAGATTTCATTGAACTGTAAAAAATCGTGTTAAAGTAAAGACAGAGTGCAACTGTTGAAACACTTCCATTGTTATTTTTCTTTGTTAGATCAAAATGGATGGTGTCCTCGAACTTTTTCATGTTTTACGAAGAGGAATGTGAAAAAGTCTTGGAAAACCCGTAATTCTCACGAATACGGAATCACAGACTTCACATCATTCACACTGCCTCGCCTACGTCTTACATACGGAGTGTTACGAGAGCAGTGCAGCGTGTTTTTAAGTCATTAGGGTTGCGTCTTCTAAAATTGAAGGAGATTTAAAACCTGATTTTATACTGACTTTCACTATTATCTGCGTTTCTTTCAAATAAAGCAAACCTCTTAGCCTCAGCTTGGAAGAAACTCAAATTATGATTGTTCGTTAAGCGTTCGCTTTTTTTTATTCGAACTAGGGGGCATGGTGAATACTTGCCGAAACAGCCCCCCTCCCCCCAGATCCTTTAAACTCCGTATCAACTGAAATACCCTTTGAACCGTCCTGTGCATATATGACCCATTAGGAGTTTAGCAATAATCTGCACTTTCCAAGGAAGAAGTTCTATATGCACAAGGCCACCATTGAAACTATTTCAATTTTAATTTTCCATTTTGCAGGCTCCTTACAATATAGAATTACCCCTCACCAAGCTTGCATTCAACTGAAGACCCGGATTTCTCGGCTAGACAGATAGGTTCCCTTCAAAAAGGCTCAACTTAGATGTAGGTCTGGTTCACCTAAAGCTAAATAAACATTCCTCATGTTTAGGGACCTTCCTAAGCAACAATCTGCCCGCACGCGGGTTTACTACTAACATTGATGAAAATGTCCACTTTGATGCACGACCCAAATAAGCGGCTTACTGGTTATGTTATAGGCCTTCAAGCACCATTTTGGTCGCTTCTCTGACGTTAGGGCGTATCTCGATTTTCGCATGAGCCCCAGAAATAATGGATTTGCATGCAAAACGGAGCTCACCCGGGAATTAAGATACGCCCTTACGTTAGAGGAGCGACGATTAGAGCACTTGTAGAGCCGAACGTTGAGAGTTTTCAATGTTTTTCGGCGTATTTGCGTGTATCTGAGATATTTGCTTATCTATACGACCACCGCACATCTGATACGGCTGAATCGTCGGCTCTGATCAATGTCCAATCGGACGTATTTCTGCTAAGTAGAACTATGTGTATTATGACGTGAGCCCTGTTACGCATATATTCTTACGGGTCTCAGGGCTCATAGCTTGATGCACATAGTACCATTTGGCAGAAATACGTCCAATTATAACCACGGGACGAGCACTCACGAAAAAGGCGCGTCTGAACAAACAAGACGCAGGACAATCCTCCCAAATTCCAACGGTGATACAACTATCATCCATCCAAAAATGAGCCAAATCCAGTCGCGGAAATGGAGAATTTGCACGAAAAATTTTGATTGCTACATTTGAGAGTGCTCGATGATCTGCATTCGCAGTATTTTTCATGATTGTTTTCCGATATAGGAAATGGAGAATTTGCACGCAAATCTTTTATTGCTTCATCTAAAGTCTAAAGAGCTGATTTTGCAGCATTTTTTACATTTTTTTTCGGATATGGGAAATAGTATAAAAATAGATTTAAAAGTGAGAAGATGCGCCGCTTTGTGACGTCATCCGGCGGCATTCCCCATTTAAACGCATGCATTTTAGCAGATTAGATCATTTTGTCTCGTCTCCTTCAATAATTCTTCAATTTATGAACCAAGAGTATCCTTCGTGTTCAGCTCACTTGATAGCGTCCATTCAATCACGGAATTCATCAAATTTCAGACACCTGCTAATCCTCCATTGTAGGATAATACATTTGAAAGTAAGAAAACCTGCCACTTTGTGACGTCATCAGGCGGCATTTCCCATTTAACCGCATGTACTTCAGGAGATAATGTCATTTTGGTCATATATCCTTTAATAATGGTTCATTTTAGAAACCAAGAATGTTCTCATGCTCAGTTCACACAGCAGTTTCTTCTTAGACTTACGATTCACAAAATGTCAACCATTCGCAAATTCTCCATTCGCCTGAAATCAGTGGACGAATCACAGTTTCGGGGAGCAAAGTAGGACCCCGATGTCAAAGTCGGCAAGATAAGATGGAAAAGGTAAAGCTGCAATTCTCATTGGCAAAGCAGAGGCCATGCTGCCGACTGGAAGTGAGGGGCGTGAGGGGAGGGGAGGGGAGGGGGCGGCTAGGGGCGGCGGCCCGGGTGGTGGGGCGAAGGGGAGAGCGGCAAAATGGCGAGGAGATGGAATGTTTGACTACTACAAGTGGTTTATGCTTGTCTTGAAACGTTTCAACTTTGATAATTGCGAGCTGGAGCGAGAGCGTGGAAAGTCGACAAGTTTGTCACCCAAGCGGGGCCTCCACCGCTTTGGATGAGGCCGGGCCGAGCCAGCCGCTGCCTTGCCACATCTCCACACA